AAGTCTCAATAGTTTTGCATAACACTACCTATCGGCGCGTTGAAATCAGCTTAAAATAATCCATAATAAACAGTAATTAATTATAATGCTTAAGCGTAATTAACGCGCAGTACGTCGCTGTCGCGCAGGAAGTACGCCGATTAGATACCGCGTACAGTGCGCGCTAACTGAGCGCGTCACCATAGAGCCTTAACCCTCCACGTCTACTCGAAAGCCAGAAGGCCTCATGCAAATGCGAAATGCGAGCATGCGAAATGCGAGCATGCGAAATGCCGAATGCGCAAATCGAGATGTGAAATGCCGCAGATGCGAATGTAACTGCGACTTTAATTGTACAGCGAATCAGCACTTAGCTTTCATCATGTTTAACAATGTGGCCCAATGTAAATACGGTTTGAACATTTAGATGCTTGGGTCCTTGAGGCAAATAAGGCGGCGTTCAAGTTGAGTAAACAAACTACGTCATTTTAGGCGGCAATACGCAGTTCTGCGTTGCACACCAGGTTAAATATTATTCATAGACCTGCGGGGGTCATCGCAGCGAAAAACGAGGGCCCTAAGCTAGGCCCAAATTTTGTAAACCAATGGCGCTCAGGCAGGCACGCCACAGCACCGGGAGGACACGCCACGTACACGCCAGGTACACGTACGTACACTCAAGATACACGCACGTACACGCGGGAACACGCCGAGATACACGCACGCTACACGCGGGACACGCACGTCCACGCAGGTTACCCACGCACGTACACGGCCACGTACACGCGGATACACGCACGTCACACGCGGGTACACGCACGTATACACGCGGGTACACGCACGTTACACTTCACGTACACGCGGTCGTACACGCACGTACACGCGGCGTACAGCACGCTACACGCATGCGCTACACGCGGGTACACGGCAGCCGTACACGCACGTACACGCACGTATAGCGCGGTACACGCCGTGTACGTGCGATGTCACGTGCGTGTACCCTGCGCTGTACGTGCGATGTACGGTGCGTTGTACACCCTGCGTGTACGTGCGAATGTACCCGCTGTGCTACGTGCGTGTACCTGCGTGTACCGCGTGCTACGTATGCGTATGTACGTGCGTGTACTGGCGTGTGCGTCATGCGTGTACCCTGCGTGTACGTGCGAGTACCCGCGTGTACTGTGCGTGTACCGCCGTGTTACGTCGCGCTAGTACCGCCGTATGTACGGTGCGCTGTACCCGCGTAGTACGTCGCTGTACACCGCGTGTATCGCTGCGTGGTAACCCGCGTGTACGTGCTGTTACTGTGCGTCGTACCGCGTGATCGTACGGCTTGTACCGCGTGTACGTGCGTGTATCCGCGGTGTACGTTGCGACCAAACCGTGTCGCTTGCGCTGTACCGCTTGTACGCTGCGTTGTATCTCCGTGTACCCGATACCGTGGTACGTGCGTGTATCTGCGTGTAACCCTCTTCTGTTGCGTGCCTAAGCCTGAGCCAGCCATTGTTTACAAAATTTGGCCTAGGAGTGTCTATATTCAGGCCGGTAACGGCGAGATATACGCCCGTACGCAGTTATTTGGCCTAAGTATATTGACTAATCGTGCGTCAATAAACTTCAATATTCACAGAGAGCTATAAGCTAAGACATGTGTCTATTAGGTATCTAGAATTTTAGAAAATTTAATCATCTGTAATTACTTAGTCCGCCGCGCATTATATTTGCTATATTAGACTAATCGTGCGTCATAAACTCAATATTCACAGAGAGTCAAGTATTTATGAATTCAAGCCGGTACGGGAGCAATCATTTTGCTAAATATATTCTACGATACCTATAGACACATGTCTTAGTCCCTATACTCTCTTGCTGAATACTTGATTTATTGACGCGACCGATTAGTCAATATATTAGCCAAATATTAATGCGTACCGCTAATCTTCCCGTACCGGCTGAATATACGACAAACCCAAATTGCCTAGCTTAGCTCGTTTTTCGTGCGATGACCCCCAGCGTCGATGAATAATATTTAAGAAAATCGTGTCAACCAGAAACTAGCGCAAGATGCTCGCCAAAATGACGTTAAGTTTGTTTACCAACATTGAACGCCCCTTATTTGCCTCGGAGGACCAAGCATTGAATGTTAAAACGCGTATTTCAAATTGCGTCACATTGTAAAACATGATGAAGCTAAGCTGCTGATTTCGCGTACATATAAAGTCGCAGTTTACATTTCACATCTCGCATTTTCGCATTTCGCATCTCGCATTCGCATTTCGCATCTCGCATTCGCATTTCGCCATGAGCCTTCTGCGGGCTTCTCGTACACGTCTCCTAAAGCCGCGTTCACACGGAGCGTTCGGTTCCCGCGCGGGTCGAAAACGGTGCTCGCGGAACGCTCCATTAGGCGAGTGCTTACCAACCTTTTGATATCATAATAATAATTGATTAATTATTAATGATTGATAATCCTAACCCTAAACCTACACCTAACCCTAAAAAAAAAAAAAAAAAAAAAAAAAAAAAAAAAAAAAAAAAAAAAAAAAAAAATCCAATAACCCTAACCATAACACCTAACCCTAACCCTAAAACCATAACCCAACCCGTACCCTAACCTAAATGACATTAAACGAACAAACGTAATATATTGCCATGACCAATTATATATATAATATCATATATACTTATATATATATATACTATATATATATATATGTTATTATGACCATTAATGGCATTAAAGTTGGGAACACTCCTAATGGAGTATCACCCCGAAAAGGCTCAGAGACTGACCAGGATCGAAAACGACATGGAGCGTCGTTGAAGAAAGCGTTCACACGACGCTATGCGAGCTGCCTGCTATGCGAGCTGCGAGCTGCGAGCTGAGAAAAAAATACAATGCGTCCAAGCGAACAATCAAGCGAACAATGCGAATTAAACAATCAAACTCTGGCTCTCGACACTGGCGACGGAACCGCCGTACTCATTCTGACCCGGTGTAGCGCGGAATTTCATGATATAGGATGCGTATGCCAGAGTTTGATTGTTTATTCGCATTGTTCGCTTGATTGTTCGCTTGGACGCATGGTATTTTTTTCTCAGCTCGCATAGCAGGCAGCTCGCATAGCATAGAGACATGTGCCGCATGTCCAAGAATTGATCGATCAAAGGTCGTGTGAACTTTCAACACCTTCAACGACGCTCCGTGTCGTTTTTATCAGAATATCAACTATAATCTCTACCTATCAACTCTAAACTCTAACTAATATAAACATTACAACACAGTTTGTGTTCGTCCAAGTGTACACAACTTATCGTAACACAACGACGAGCTGTGATTGGTCGGGTCGGCACGCATGCGTTTCGCTCCGTGTGAACGCGGCTCTAATCATTAATGACGTAACGTGCCATGAATGAGCGTGACGTAAATCATTTATGAGCGAGAGGTGCTCTTATAGGTTTATGAGTGGGAGGAAACGCGATCGTTTATCAATGGCCGCATCGCTCCCTGCCCGAAGATTGTTCTCGCCACTCTAGTTCCTTAAAAGCACTACCATAACTGCTGAGAGAGCATTCGCTGTCGAGTATGTATTACGCCTACTGCTCATTTTGCGGAGGCCATTATCTAAATCCGATTAAGGCCAGTTGGACTGCAGTTTCTGAGGAGACGTTTCAGATTACGATTTACGCGTTAATAACACGCTTGTGCTGAGTGAATGCGCTTCGAATTCCGCGTTGATGCAGTGTACGTATGCAATTGTTTTTCAACACAATGCCCACATTAGCAAAATCCGACGAGTTTTCGAAATCGCGCGTTAAACAGTGAGACACGGCTCGACGTGTCTCGCCGGTTGCTTGCTTGAATGAACTGGGTTGCACGTGCGTAATTTAACTTTTTTCTGCCTTTTTACCAGATTACCGCGGTGCTTGCGCAGCTGCTGGGACGAGACGACGCAGGAGAACTAAACCGTAAGACGAATACAAGTATACACGTAGCGCTGCGCTAATATTCGTATAACCTGGATGTAGGACATCCCCTACATGCAGCAGCGAGTGCGCGCCTGTACGTGCCGCCAGCTTCGCTACTAGGCCTAACACTAAAACATCCTCTGACCCCCCCCCCACACACCCACACCAACACCGCTCAGACACACACACACACACACACACACACACACACACACACACACACACACACACACACACACACACACACACACACACACACACTGAGAGAGAGAAAGAAGCGTGCTAGCCGTAAGGGTTCAACTAGAATGCCTCTACTCGTCGTGGATATACAGTCAACCCTGTGTCAACAGACACCTCTACAGAACGTACAGCCGCCTGTACGGAATGCTTTTGGAGCTTTCCTTGAGTAGCAGTTATACAGGGAAATCACTTCTATAGAACGGACACCTGTGTGTAGAGAACACGTATGAAGGTTCGTTTGAGTAGCAGTTATACAATACAATTACTTCCATAGAACGGCCTTGTATAAAAGACACTTATGGCGGTTCGCTTGAATGGCAGTTATACAGCGAGATCACCTTTAAGGAACGGAATCACAGACTGTTTATAGAAGACACTTTTGCGGATTTTTTGACCCCTGCATGCAGTTTTGATTGCGCTATAATGGTCTAACCATTAGCGTATACTTCCTTCTAGTCATTTCAGAACGCCCAAAACTCATATCTAGGCGTTAACTCACACTAACAGCGTCTGTAAAAGCAGGTCGGTACTTGTTATCTCGGTATAGTCAGGCATCAATGCGTATAACCAGCCGGACATCCACAAACGTGAGGTTTCTCGTCCATGACGTTGCACAACGGTCACACATTTTTCTCGTGTACGTTTGAAGTGATCGTCCGCGCGCTCGAACAAGAACAACGGCCTGGCTCCCACGCACTAGAAAACGTCCTTCTGAGATGACGCGGATGTTGAAATCCGATTTTTTTTTAGTCGAGACCCCTCTTATATTAGAGGCAGCGCAGAATGCGGGCGAGTTCCCAGATCGCATTTTCTTCGCTTCGCTAGTATATTTATTTACGAAATCTGGGGTCCGTTGTCAGAAACAAAATTAATCTCAACATTATTAGTCTTCCCATTAACTTCCACTCGTAAACTGTTGAGAGAATCATCGTAAAGTTACGTGAACGAAAAATCCTAGGAAAATTTCCTCCTAACATTACGAGAGCCCAAACCTTGTCGTAACTTTAATATTAAGATGAAAATAACACGTTTACACTAAGAATTACAATTATAGTGATATTATATTTTATATTAATTAGTAAACTGTGTGTTTTCATAGAAAAAAACGTCAGAAACATTACTTATCCACCGGTGGTAAACCAAAACAAACATATTTACAAATGGCGTTTGTTCTCTCGTATTGAATGTTTTGATTAGTCATGACGCTCGCGTTTTGTGTTCTACTCATGTCTTGCAGTGCAGAAGTATGAGAATAAATTCATGACCGTGTCGATTTTTTATCAAATATTATTTATATGTGGTTAACCATCATAATATGCATAAATTACTGTGATGTACAATAAATGTGTATGAATTTGAATTTTGGGATCGATTCTCAAATCCAATAAGCAGCCTTGTGACATCAAATTATGAAGTTCCGGCTATCGTGAGTTTTCTCATGGCTGCGATGCGTTTTTCTCAACGCTATTCTCGTAACATTAACATTAGTCGTAATCTTAGCTATCTTAGCATTAACATTAGCATTAACTTTACGATGTTTCTGACAACGGGCCCCAGATGATTTATACGCGGCTGCCGCATGGCTACTATGCGCCAAACTCTCTGACGGGTTTCATCCGATTCGAATCGACGAAAAATAGTGCAGTCTGTCGAGTAGCGCCAGTTTTAATCGCTATAAAGTCTCAATAGTTTTTGATAACACTACCTATCGGGTTTAAACGCATTAAAATAATCCCATAATAAACGTAATTAATTTTAATGTAAGCGTAATTAAGCGCAGTCGTCGCTGGCGCAGGAAGTACGGATTAGTACCGCGTCAGTGCGCGGCAACTGAAGCGCGTCACATAGAGCCTAACCCTCCCACGTCTACGAAAGCCCAGAAGGCTCATGCAAAATGCGAAATGCGAGATGCGAAATGCGAGATGCGAAATGCGAAATGCGAAATGCGAGATGCGAAATGCGAGATGCGAAATGCGAAATGCGAAATGCGAGATGCGAAATGCGAAATGCGAGATGCGAAATGTAAACTGCGACTTTATGTACAGCGAATCAGCACTTAGCTTTCATCATGTTTACAATGTGGCCAATGAAATACCGTTTGACATTTAATGCTTGGGTCCTTGAGGCAAATAAGGGGCGTTCAAGTTGGTAAACAAACTACGTCATTTTGGCGCATACGCAGTTTCTGGTTGACACCAGTGTTAAATATTATTCATGACTGGGGGGTATCGCACGAAAAACGAGGGCCTAAGCTAGGCCAAATTTTGTAAACAATGGCTGCTCAGGCCAGGCACGCCACAGCAGGGAGGTACACGCCACGTACACGCGGGGTACACGTACGTACACTCGATACACTGCACGTACAACGCGCGGAACACGCGAGATACACGCACGTACACGCGGGACACGCACGTCCACGAGGTACCCACGCACGTACACGCCACGTACACGCGGATTTCTACCCAACGGGCACCGTTTTAACACCGGCGGGTACACGCACGTACACGCGGGTACACGGCACGTACACTGTACACGTAACGCGGTCTACACGACGTACACGCGGGTACAGCACGTACACGCATGGTACACGCGGGTACACGGCAGCGTACACGCACGTACACGCCGTATAAGCGCGGTACACGCGTGTACGTGCGATGTCACGTGCGTGTACCTGCGTGGTACGTGCTGACGTAGGTGTACCTGTGTCACTGCGTGCTACGTGGATTACCCGCTGTGTACGTGCGTTTACCTGCGTGTACCGCGTGTACGATCTATGTGGCGTGATCGGTGCGATGTGTACCTGCGTGTATCGGTACCGGTGTACTGCGTGTACGCGTGTTACGTCTGCGTAGTACCCCGTTGTACGTGCGGTGTACCCGCGTAGTACGTGCGTATCCCGCGTGATCGTGCGTGGTAACCCGCGTGTACGTGCGGGTACGTGTACTGTGCCCGTCGTACCGCGTGTACCTCCGTACGGCGGTACCGCGTGTACGTGCTGCTGTGAGTCCCGCGGTGTACGTGGTACTTACCGTGTCCTGTGCGCTGTACCGCTTGTACGCTGCGTGTATCTCCGTGATACCCGTACCGTGTACGTGTCGTGTATCTGGCGTGTAACCCTCTCTGTGTGCTCCGTGCCTGCCTGAGCCAGCCATTGTTTATCAAAATTGGCTAGGAGTGTCTATATTTCAGGCCGGTAGGCGAGAATTACGCGTCACGCAGTTATTTGCCTAAGATATTGACTAATCGTGCGTCAATTAAACTCAATATTCACAGAGGAGTTAAGCTAAGAGCACGTGTCTATATAGGTATCTAGAATTTTAGAAAATTTAATCATCTGTAATTCACTAGTCCAGCCGCGCATTATATTTGCATATATTGACTAATCGTGCGTCATAAACTCAATATTCACAGAGAGTGAGTATTATGAATTCAAGCCGGTACGGGAGCATCATTTTGCTCAAATATATTTAGATACCTATAGACACATGTCTTAGCCTATACTCTCTCTGTGAATACTTGATTTTATTACGCGACCGATTAGTCAAATATATCTAGCCAAATATCTACATGCGTACCGTAATCTTCCCGTACCGGCCTGAATATAGACAAACCCAATTGCTAGCTGAGCTCGTTTTCGTGCGATGACCCCCAGCGGTCATGAATAATATTTAAGAATGGTGTCAACACAGAAACTGCGCAATGCGCCAAAATGACGTAGTTTGTTTACCAACTTGAACGCCCTTATTTGCCTCAGAGGACCAAGCATTGAATGTTCAAACGGTATTTCATTGGTCACATTGTAAACATGATGAAAGCTAAGTGCTGATTCGCTGTACATAAAGTCGCAGTTTACATTTTCACATCTCGCATTCGCATTTCGCATCTCGGCATTTCGCATTTCGCATCTCGCATTCGCAATTTCGCATGAGCCTTCGGGGCTTTCAGTACACGCCTCCTAAAGCCGCGTTCACACGGAGCGTTCGTCCCGGCGCGGGTCGAAACGGTGCTCGGCGACGCTCTCATTAGCGAGTGCTTTACCAACTTTTGATATCATTAATAATAATTGATTAATTATTAATGATTGATAATCCTAACCCTAAACCCTACACCCTAACCCTAAAAAAAAAAAAAAAAAAAAAAAAAAAAAAATCCAATAGACCCTACCATAACCCTAACCCTTAACCCTAAACATGAACCCAACCCTAACCCGTACTAAATGACATTAAACAACAAACGTAATATATTGCCATGACCAATTATATATTATATCATATATACTATATATATATATATATATATATATATATATATATGTTATTATGCCATTAATGGGCATTAAGTCGGGAACACTCCTAATGGAGTAATCACCCCGAAAGGCTCAGAGACTGACCAGGATCGAAACGACATGGAGCGTCGTTGAAGAAGCGTTCACACGACGCTATGCGAGCTGCCTGCTATGCGAGCTGCGAGCTGCGAGCTGAGAAAAATACATGCGTCCAAGCGACATTCAAAGCGAACAATGCGAATTAAACAATCAAACTCTTGGCTCTCGACACTGGCGACGGAACCGCCGTACTCATTCTGACCCGGTGTAGCGCGGCATTTCATGATATAGGAATGCGTACATGCCAGAGTTTGATTGTTTATTCGCATTGTTCGCTGAATTGTTCGCTTGGACGCATGGTATTTTTTTCTCAGCTCGCATAGCAGGCCAGCTCGCATAGCATAGAGACATGTGCCGCATGTCAAGAATGATCGATCAAGGTCGTGTGAACTTTCAACACCTTCAACGACCGCTCCGTGTCGTTTTTATCAGAATATCAACTATATCTCTACCTATCAACTCATAAACTCTAACTAATATAAACATTACAACACAGTTTGCTGTTCGTCCAAGTGTACACAACTTATCGTAACACAACGACGGAGCTGTGATTGGTCGGGTCGGCACGCATGCGTTTCGCTCCGTGTGAACGCGGCTCTAATCATTAATGACGTAACGTGCCATGAATGAGCGTGACGTAAATCATTTATGAGCGAGAGGTGCTCTTTATAGGTTATGAGTGGGAGGAAACGCGATCGGTTTATCATGGCGCGCATCCCTCCCTGCCCGAAGATTGTTCTCGCCACTCTAGTTCCTTAAAAGCACTACCATAACTGCTGAGAGAGCATTCGCTGTCGAGTATGTATTACGCCTACTGCTCATTTTGCGAGGCCATTATCTAAATCCGATTAAGGCCAGTTGGACTGCAGTTTCTTGAGGAGAGTGTTCAGATGTACGATTTACGCGTTAATAACACGCTTGTGCTGAGTGAATGCGCTTCGAATTCCGCGCTGATTGCAGTGTACGTATGCAATTGTTTTCAACACAATGCCCACATTAGCAAAATCGCGACGAGTTTTCGAAATCGCGCGTTTTAAACAGTGTGAGACACGGCTCGACGTGTCTCGCCGCGTTGCTTGCTTTGATGAACTGGGTTGCACGTGGCGTAATTTAACTTTTTTCTGCCTTTTTACCAGATTACGCGGTTCTTGCGCAGCTGCTGGGACGAGACGACGCAGGAGAACTAAACCGTAAGACGAATACAAGTATACACGTAGCGCTGCGCCTAATATTCGTATAACCTGGATGTAGACATCCCCTACCTGGCAGCCGCGTAGTGCGCGCCTGTACGTGCCGCCAGCTTCGCTACTAGGCCTAACCCTAAAACAATCCTCTGACCCCCCCCCCCACACACCCCACACCAACACCGCTCAGACACCACAACACACACACCACACACACCAAACACACACACACACAACACAACACACACACACACACACACAGTGACACACACACACACACACACACACACACAATATACACACACACACAACACACACAGACACACACACACACACCACACACACACACACACACACACACACACACACACACACGCACACACACACACACACACATACACACACACACACACACACCACACACACACGCCGCGCGCACGTACGCACGCGTACTAGTGCGAAATAAGATCGTTTTCGCTTGCCGCATAAATTGAATGAGGCCGATTGATGCGTAAGTTGATAAGGACTCGAGTGTCGAGTTACCATGGCAATGACCATGGCTAAAGGTAGTCTTTCAGCCGATGCTTTGCACTCACACCAAAGCAGGCGGCAACAGCGAATCTTCCTTGTTTGTCAACGCTCGAGTTTTCTTCTGACGCGAATATTTGCGAGGCGTGCTCTGCCTCTATCAACGGATCTCTGTTTCAGCGCGAGCGCGGGCGCGTAGAAACGCCGTGCATGTATATAGGATATAATACAATAGGACGTGTAATTTCGCCAGCCCGTCGTCGATGGACTGTCATTAGTCGACGGCTATGATTTGGCAAGGCGTATCGCGAGTGATTGATATCCGGTGTTTTGCTTCAGTCGGTCTCGCGTGCTTGCCGCACTACATGCTGGTGACGCTGAACACGACGCAACCATTCTACGGCAAGATCAGTAGCCTCTACGACTCCACATGCTTCACGCACGGGGTTGGCGAAAGGACAACACAGCTCCTATTACCACTCGACGAGTGTGGCATGTACAATGTAGGCGTTTATATCCATATATATAACTATATATATATATATATATATATATATATATGATGCGCGCGTGGGTTTGTCTTCTCGGAGTACATCAGCTAAAGTGAACAACAATCTGGCGTAGGTAGGCGTTTGTCGAGAGATACGCCCACATGATCCCCGAGGAATAACAGCTCGTATTAGCCATGTTTGTTGCACGTAGTTTCAACAACATGTTTGTTTCATTTGTGCAGTCTAGTCCTATCAGGAATCTACTTGTTTACGGGATGAGGGTCCTCGTATGCCTATACGGATAAAATTCTGAACTTGCTACTACAAGAAGCGTACCCAACGATCGAGACATATAGGGATGTAAAGCCTTTAACCGCACAACAGTAATGAGCAATGACACGATAACCAGAGCCTATAACGCCAAGCCCCAAGTACTGACAAGGGTCTAGTGCTAATAGATAATTAGCCAAGGATATCTCTGTCACCTTGCCACCCTACGCGCAAATATAGCTAATCTACGGGCTTTGCCTCGTTAGTGGGCCAGCATCGCCCTAGCTGTTATTCCACGTTACCACCTTCCTCTTTAGCATGGCACGGTAGAGCCTCTTGTGCATCAGCTGGCACGCTGACGATGTTTCTATTGCCTTATATCTTCTATTCGCAGGAGACGCTGTTCTATCGAAACCAGATACAGGCTCAGCGACGCCCTAATGAGGTGGACGATCTACGTGATCCAGTAAAGACGCTAACGTGCCACTACGCTCTCCCGATTCCTCCCTACATCCCGGCAAAACCGGAGGAAGGGTGAGTGCTCACGTTCCACCCGTATATAGGTTTGTACGTGTGCGTGTGTGTGCGCGCATGTGTGTGTCTGCGCGCTGATGTAGAAACCACATCGGTATCTCAAGACTCGCCTATAGCAACGGTCACCAGGCGCGTATGGGAAAAGTCAACTGCACGCAGAAGCTTTGTTAAAAAAAGAAAAAAAAATGTGTCGCGGTGCGGCTGACACATATCGCCCTATAGTCGACACTGTACGCATTGATGTGTGTCTGTCTGTCGTTTTTCGTACAGAAAGTTTGTGGCACCAGCGGCGATCGTCACGGGAGGGCTAAGCGACCGCGACATTCTCCTGCTCGTATGCATCCTCGCCTTCCTCATCATGCTGACCTGCTGCTGCGGATGCGCCTACTACTGCATGCGCAAGCGAGGCGTCAAGCTCATTCGAGCAAAGCCGAGTCCGCCGACGTCGTACGCCGCCAGCGACATCACGGCCGTCACGTCGGCGGGCAGGATCACGCTGGTCGGCGTCGACGTGCGCTCGAGCCGCCACGAGCTGAGCCGTGAGAGCGCGCTCGGCCGCTATTCGATGTCCGAGCTGGTGTCGACCAGCGGCTACCACCTCTACGAGCCGTCGTCGTCGGAGGGCTACTCGTCCGGCCAGTGGATGGACGACGCGGAGAGCGTCGGAAGTCCGGTGCCGGCTCGCTTCGACGCCGGGCCGCTGTCGCTGCCGCGGCCGGCGGTGTACGCGCGCCAGCCGGTCGTTGACGGCGACACGGACGTGCTCACGAGGGACACGATGACGACGACGACGACGATGCGCAGGAGAGAGGTGATCGAGACACACGAGAATCATGCGTTTGAGGCCGACGACGAGCGCGAGAGCGGATCCGCGTCGCCGCCGTCGCCGCCAGGGGGCTACGCGTCGCCGCCGTCGCTGCCGTCACCGCCGTCACCTCTAGGTGGCTACGATCCGGCGAGCGCCGACACGTACGTCGGCGAGCGGCCGGACGCGTTCGTTAACACGATCGTCGAGCGCACGCAGACGACGACGGTGACGGAGGAGATGACGCAGGAGACGACTAATATCTACCACGAGGAGAAGACGCCGCCGCGGCAGGAGAGGGAGAAGGAGGAGGAAGACGTTGAAGAGGAGGAGGAGCAGGAGGGGCCAGAAGCGGCGCCGTCGCTCAGCGCGTCGATGCGTAATGATGCCGCTCCGACGAGCGTCTTCGTCAAGGCGCCCTCTGGCGACGCAGACGAGGCGAACCAGTCGTGGCACCTTGCGCTCGTCGACATCGAAAGCCAGGTGAGCACGGAGCGGGGAGCGGCCGCTGTGTCGCCACCAGCGGCCGCTGTGGCGCCACCAGCGGCCGCTGTGGCGCCAGCAATGGCAACGCGCATCTCCATCGCTAGCCAGGCGCCGGCAGACGATGCGGTCGCGAGAAGATTCGAATTCGATCCCGGATCACCGCCGTGGGGCAGCGACCTGCGCTCTCCGGATCCGTCGCGTAAGCTGCGACGACAGCAGGAGTTGTGCAACGCCGACATAGCGAACGACCCGACGAAGTATCACTTCACGAAAAGATGGCTGGAGTGGTCCAGTCAAGATGACTTGACGGGCGACGCGAACGCGAACGGCGCTTCCGCTGACAGTCAGAATTACGCGCGGCTTGCTGGCGGTGACGAACGCGACCTCTACCGGGTCTATAAGGGTCAGCGGTCGCTGACTCCGGATACGAACGGCCATGGCGACGAGCCGCGGTCCATCTCTGAGGCGCTGGTTCTTCGCGACGTCGCCGAGCACAGTTCCTGCTGCACGTGCCACGACGCGCGCGCCGCCGACGCCGCCGACGACCCCGACGACGACGAAACCCGGCAGCACGTCTGTGGCGCCCCCGAGCGGCCGCCGCGATTCGCGAAAAACGAGCAGGCGCGAGCATGCTCGACTAGAGGGCAACGCTATCGCAGCCGGTCGTCGTACGCCGGCTCGATGCGCAGCAGCGACCCGGGAGGACGCGAGGACGACGAGATGCGCTCCCTGCCGGAGATCCACGTCACCGACACGCTCGCTTATTACCCGGAGCCGGACTATGACATCTAGCCGATGAGTATCGTCGCCCAGTGGCTATAACATCTCCAGCTATCACATCCCAAGCTGTCGGAGAAAAATAGAGATAATCAATGCGTCAACCTTTAGTAAAGATTTAATGACCACTTTGGCCCCGTAGTCAAGCAAGGAACAGAACGCTCGCCTCAACCTTTGACGTGTGGGGTCACGGTGTGGTTTTTTGGCGGGGTGAGAGTATGTTTTTTCCGTCCGTCGCGCTATACGGAAAAAAATCGGAGTCGTGCGGTATTACATTGAGTACATCAGGTGTGAATTAAACTCTATTTTTATTCACTCTTGGTTATATACATGCAACCAGAAGTAGATAATAGAGAGTCTCTTTATTCATTATGCATTCATTAGGATTTACTCCTGATGCAACACTGCATGAGTCTCGCTTTTCGGTGATTTCGAGCGTTTTTTCCGGAGATTGTTGTGCATTGTTGTCAGTTATCATGTTTTCCTTTCGTGTAATTAATTATTTATTGACTCGAAAAAGCGACGGAGTGTATAGACATTTTTTGCGGAGTATTAGTTAGGCTCATAGGGTCTATGTCCCCCAGGGTACGTTCCGGCAGTACCCCGGGGGACATAGACCCTCTCAGCATTAGTTAGCTAGGTACGTGCTACTTGATTAAACTCGTCTGTATAGCTTTTTTTTAAAGTTCTCCGAAAAAATGCTGTTGAATGATAAGAATTGCGATAACAGAAACCCAAATACTCTATATCAACACTTCGGATTTGTAAACAAATATGACGTGAATAGCACAAATCGAAAACACTCACACTTTCTCTCCCGAACTCTCATTCTTTCCGTCTCGCTATCCTTGCTCCATCTCTTTCTCTCTGCTCTCTCTCTCTCCCGCTCTCTCTCTCTCTGCCTCTCTCCTTCTCTCTCTCTTTCTCTCTCTCTCTCTCTCTCTCTCTCTCTCTCTCTCTCTCTCTCTTTCTCTCTTTCTCTCTCTTTCTCTCTCTCTCTCTCTTTAACGTACGTATAAATAACCCCATCATTACAAACCACACGCTTTCCCACGTAAAACGCTTGTTGAGAAAAAACGCGTTGCTTTCTATTTTATTGTTTCGATATGCTTGCAAGTGATAAATATTTTGCCCGCAGACTGCGCCATACAGTAGCGTTTATCCATTTATTACTTTATTGACCTAATTGCAATAAAACTGTGTATACGTCGCAATGAAATTGGTTTACAAATTATAATAGTTAAGTTTTGATGGAATGCAAAATGAATATCTAATATTTTTATATATGTCATATTTGTAAATTAATATTGCATTATTTGTATTGTATAAAACGCAGGTACTAACCGCACTGAGTGTATCATCAAACTTGTACCGGATAAATATCTGTATATCTGTAATATAGTAGTGAAGATTTGTTTAATTGATGCGCACTGATCACTAATGGTAAACAAATCCAAATGTATGGAGTCGTGAGTGTTTATTTACCTCGAACCGGACGGCAAAATATAAATACAAATGCAGCAATTTATAACAAGAAAACAAAATCATGTAACTGTATTTTCATAATTATATTTTGTAAAAGAATGATATCGCAAAGGCGGCGAGATCCAGTTACAAAAGACACGATAGATTAACTTGTTACTGTACGTGTCATCAAAGCTGGTGTTGCTCATCTGTCAGTTTTTGTTATCTATAGATAGTACGATAATTTACTATAATTACTGATAATTAATAAACACTATATTGTGATATCTACTCGTTCTCTGTTGGCGATAAGTTAACAATAATAAAGTGATAATTTTTGGCATACTCTTGCGCAATAATTAGAAGTAGGTTTATAAGGGATAATAATATAGTAATCGCTCATCATTTTACTCCTAATGCGAGCGTCTATATCTATGAGTTTCACATCGATTCCACAATTATATCCACAGCCGGTAAACAATATTCATTTTTAATTTATCATTATAACCTAAATTAGCATGGTCGTCATTACCCCGTGCTGTCCGTGCCAACATATATCCTTATATGACTACCGCAGGTTATTTACATGTGCCTCTAGCTATTAATAGCTGTCGTGTCATTCGGGGTATTATTTGGTGTAATATACGTGCCCATAATTCCCAGGTAGTACCCATACATCGCAGCAATTCCGTTTAATGCAATATCGCGTTCAACTTGGAAGATGTGCCAATCCCGCTGCTTATTATACACTATAAATAAAAGTTAACGCAATTATTGAGTCTGTCGCAGCATTGCTGATTATGGATGCACCGTATCGAGTTCTCTGGCCCGCCCAGTTTCCTGACAAGTTCCCTCGTAGTCGGGCTGCAGATTGAAGTTTCCTTCTGTCGCGATGCACATGATTTCGTCAGCATCAATCCTCTGGCCGACGGCTTGCACAAAGACGTCTACGTCTGCAATGCCAAGCAAGATTATAGGTAATGAATACATGTGCTAGCGAGCCAATTATACGTAAAACCGTTCAACGATATAGTGATAAAAATAGCTGTCATAAATTAATAAATAAATCACGCAACCAATCAAATAAATAAATAAATAAACCAAAAAATCAATTAAATCAATCAATAAACCAACTAATCAATTAATTAATCAATCGGTTGGTCGGTCGGTTTGGTGGTTTATGCGCACGTACGTGCGCGTGCGTGCGTTCGTGCGTCCGTGTGGCGAAGGTGGGATTAAGCCCGATATGATATTGCAAAAAATGTTGCGAAAATTACTTCATGTATAGTACTCACTCAGATCTGCCTTTAGGTTTCCGGCTACAAGGCAGGTTTCTTTGGTTCCCGGACAGTTGGAGCGTCCGTCAGTAATCAACACGACCGCACGAGTCGCATCGGGCCGCGAATTCGAAGATTCGTCGATAAACCTGTCGTACGCCTCTGCGAGCGCAAGATTTGTGCAGGTGGCGCAGTTGTCGTTCTGATCGCGGCAGAGATCACTGTCTGCAAGATAGATGCCATGTGTCCACAATATTATACCCGGCAGTAAAGTGCGCTGTACGTGCGAGTCGACGTGTGAAATAAAGTATACCATTAGCTATCTGAATACGTGCGATGCTTTTGTTTGTGCGTGACTTGCATAAGTTTACCGTCGTGGATCCATCCAGTGATCAGTACCCTCAGCGTCAAAATATTTGTCACGAAAATAGTATCGACGTAATGATTAGTCATCGATTACGAATTTTTAAATTATACGCATATCATGCTTGTAATTATATTTCAAACACTATATGGAAACATAGCTACTTTCTCCGTAATATTCAGGTTTAGCAACAGATGTATATATAATATGAGGGTACTTTAAACACTTGAATTCGTTATACCCACACTCGCACCGTTGTATCCGTTAGTAAGATAGATCCATGCATGTGTATACTTACGATATCGATAGGCAATGTCGTCTATGGCGTAATTGACTTCTTCGACCGAGCGATAGGCTGTGAAGTTTCCGTGCAATATTACCTCTCGTCCGTACGACAAGATCATAACTCTTGCCTGGATGGTAAGGTCGTCTTGGAAGAGTTGCACCCACTCCTGCGAGCCAATAATGTATGCGTGTTGACACGTGACGTGAATAGGAGAGGGAACACTCTTTTCACGTGAACTATAATATATTGGCACTAAAATTATGTATGGTGAAATAAAACAATACACGCAACTTAGAGGAAGTCTTAGAAGACAGATGATTACATGCAATATTTACTTTTTAGGCAGCTAGGGTTTCGTTGGACCTACCTTCAATGCGCACTTTGCTTGCTCAAACGAAGGTTGGCCGACGCTCAGACTACGGTCGACGATTAGAATGATATCGACATCCTCGTTAGCGTTCGGGTTGGCGTCGATGGAGAAGTCATCGGTCTGCGCATGGACATTCTGAACCACGCTAGCCTTGAAGTTTCGGATTTTGTTAATCCTATCCCGTGCTGAACATATGGAATATATATATATAATGGTTACGTGGTGTGTGTGTGTGTGTGCGTGTGTGTGTGTGTGTGTGTGTGTGTGTGTGTGTGTGTGTGTGTGTGTTGTGTACGTGTGTGTGTGTGTGTGTGTGTGTGTGTGTGTGTTGTGTGTGTTGTGGGTGTTGGGTGTGCTGTGTGTGTGTGTGTGTGTGTGTGTCGTGTGTGGTGTGTGTGGTGTGTGTGTGTGTGTGTGTGCGTGGTGTGTGTCGTGTGTGTACGTGTGTGTGTGTGTGGCGTGCGTGGTGGTGGCGTGTGTGGTGTGTGTGTGTGTGTGTGTGTGTGTGTGTGTGTGTTGTTGTGTGTGTGTGTGTGTGTTGTGTGTGTGTGTGTGTGTGTACCTGGTCATTGGGTTTCCGACCATTATCGTTACTAAAACGTTTTACGGTTAATTGCGTTACAGTTTTTAAACATATGTAGGAAATATATTCAAAAAACATGAGACATGGTTAATAAATACACACGGAATAACTGATCACTGCCGAGCTGTAATGTTGGTACCGATTGATTCTACTGTATCAGGACCAATGGCAATAGCAGAACAGGAAACGCGTGTCGAATAATGTGCCTACCAGCAGTGTCCTCACAGGTCTTTCCCGCCACATTTTCCGGGCATGCGCACTCGTAGCCAACACCATCTTCCGAGCACGAGCCGCCATTGTGGCAGGGTTCATCTGCGCATGTATCCGCTGGTGCATCTTGAGCTATAGTAGGCCCTAAATGCGTGAATTATGTAGTTTTGTTATAGAAGAAGCTGCATGTTGGTGTACAAGTCGCCGAAGAGTATATCGGGTTCGCTTATTCTACCCCGATGACAATCTGTCCACTATGCAGAAAATAAAAATTGATAAATTGCGTCGAAAAACTAGGAATTTTAAGGTTCTTACCGTTTCCAGCCAGGCGATCGAAAAACGATGCTTGCTGACTTGGCTGCACAATGAATGCCAATAGGGCGACGGTGATGCACAGTTTTACTTGCATGGCCGCGATTTACTGTCTGGAAACAAAACGACAGGAATATAAGGTCATGTATAGGTTCACAAAATCTCGTTTCTATTTGGCTGGCAGGTGACGGAAAGCAAGCTGCCTTCGGATCCGATTCAAGGTTGTCTTTGCACAATATTTGCATTTTATGCAAGTGTTTGCATTTTAAAACCTTGAGGCGACCGTGGCTGGCGCAATAAACCAAGTACATAAGGTCTATGCATATAAATTATGTGTAATATCTGCGCGTTATAATATACGCGATGTTTAGCCTGAATAAAGTATTACACGTAATAAGTCGTTCTCGGCGCGTAAGGGTAAATACGAGGGCGACGAATGTTGATCGTAAACGATAAGCATGTAATAAATTCGATTCACGTATATATGCTGCAAGGATATGGAGAATTGGCAGCGTTTCATCATTGCGATAACAGCAGGATCCCGCAGCTCTCAGCTAGCTTAGTTACGTTTTAGCGTATAGTCTTAGCGCTAGTTTGATATAGCTTGCCTAGTTATGCTGTAGTTAGGCTTGTTTAGATATGCGTTAGTTGGTTGCGATGGTTTATGTGCTCTTGTTTATGCATAATCAATATGTGCAATATGTAAGTGTGTGGACGGCATGAGCTAAATGGAACAGGTAACGTCATACCGGCTGGTTTAATGAAAAGCGAACGAGAAGCAAATTACGAGGAAAGTTGCGCCAGTCTCGAATTGGTTGACTGGAAAACGTACGTACGAAAGATGCGACTGGATCAGCAGAAAAATGAATTCTGATGATACGAAGAACATATATACTGCATTGTTGCTTCCCAGATATGCGCCTGTGTGATTGCGTGTGCATGTGCGTGCGTGTGCGTGCGCGTGTGTTTGTGTAAGTATGTGTGCGCGCGCGCGCGCGCGCGCGTGTGTGTGTGTGTGTATGTGTGCGCGCGCGCGCGCGCGCGCGTGTGTGTGTGTGTGTGT